TATAACTTTTGGTTATTATAATTTTTTTTTATTTTTTCATTTTTACAATTACTTTTTAATTATTTATAGAGTTAATCACCTATACACTGTCAATGTAAAGTTTTTTTTACATTAACAATCAATTATATCTCTTAATTGTGTCATGTCACGGTTAAAAATAAATGTGTTTACAGTGACATGACACAATTAAGAGATATAATTGATTGTCAGTGTAAAAAAACTTTACACTGACAATGTATAAGTAATTAATTATTATTTATATGCATTACGTGCCAAACATTAAATGAGTTAAATTCAATTGAAACAATATCTATGTGAAATTAATAAAAAAAGTAATGGTAGGAATGAAAAATAAAAAATGATAATTTACAGAAATCAAAAGTTAAACAAAAACAATAAGCACATATATATTGCATGTATCAAGAAGATATTTAAGCCAAATAAATTATATTTTAGTTCATTTCAATATAGATAAATTTATCAATTGTCACAAACATTTATAAATGAATTTCTGAAATTAATATATCTTCTTCCTTAATATATCATTTTAAGAATCAACAAAGTTAAATATAATTAGATAAACAACCCAATGAATTATTAGAGTCTACCTAATAATAAAAATTAGAGTAATATGCATAAAGTTCTAAATTTAAATTTTAATGTTATCATTATAATTTTGATGAATAAAAATTATTCAATATATATTTATATTTGACTGATTGTATGAAACTCAATTTAAAATGTTTGCGCTTCAAATTAATTTCCCATTATTTTTTGAAAATCTGTAAGATTTTCATATTAGTTACACACTTTTCAAATATACAGACATGATTTATTTCTAGAAAAATAGTAGCAACATATTTGACTACTGTGGTGGGAGACTGGGTGACGTGTAATTGAATCCCACGAAATATGGAAAATTAATTTGTCAGAACTCAGAAGCACTCCTATTTATTGATTATGAGATTTTGAAAGATAATTTATTATTTTTAAACAAAAATTAAAAAATGATCAAATTTGAAGATTTACTCAAAATTTTAATTTTATATTTCAAATTTCAAAATAAATAATCAAATATAATTATTTATGAGTTATCAAAGCAAAATAAGTGAAGCTCATTTTTAATTATTTACTATCATTAAAATGTCTATTTACATTAAAATAAGCAACATGTTACATATTTTTATCTTTTAAAAGAAAACAATGTACCTTTTTAAATTACAATAAAAATAATATAATTTAATCGTTTCAACTAAAAGAAGACTACGTAATTTACCCGTGAAAACAAGGAAATATCCATGATATACATCACATTATAATAAATGCATGCCATAAAAACTTTACCAAAAATATATTGATTAAATAATTTAATTTTCTCTTTTCCTACACTCTTTTTTTTATTTAAAAAAAAACTTTTTGGATAATAAATATGTTTCATTTTCAACTACCAATGAATTAAAATTATAATAGGATTTCACATGCAGATGATAGAATGGAATATAAAGTCGATTTTATGTTTATTCTATTAATTTGGCTGTACACTTTTAATAAAATTTAAAATATTACTTTATTTTAAAAAATGTCCCATTCTATTTTATAATTTAGAATGTGATCTTGGCTTTCGTCCTTCACCATGCAAAACATCTTATAGGCGACATCGTCGCATGAAATGTGGTTTAAATTAATATTAAAATATTTATTGAGCCCTAAATAGCTTAATAATAAAGAGAAAACCATTGACGTAGAAACATTTGTGTATTAGCATGTGAAACAATATTTAGCATAGAAAATGAATCACAACATAGAAGATTTAAACAAACAATAAGTTTCACCTTGTTGTAGGAAAAAAAATTATTTAGCATTAGGTTTCATATGAATGAAAATCACTGCACCCAATTAATATATCATTCGATGGACTAAAAAATATTTGTGACAGGAAAAAAAAAATATCAATAAAAATTTTGAGATGGGAAAATTTTATATTATTGTCAACTAAATTAAATGGAAAAAATAAAAAAAATTAAGCAAGTGCCACGTCGACTTAACATCCAACAAATCATTGGTACATATTTGAAGTAGAGTTTTGGCAGGTCAAGCAAGTAATAACCGCTGATTAAGTGATTATTATTATTATTTTTCTATTACTTTGTCTTTACTATTTTTTTTAAAAAGATTTTTCATAAGGGTGTGAATACTTGGAAAGAAAGAAAAGAGATTAAAATATAAGTGCAATAAAAAAAAAAATAGAGAGAGAGAAATGTAATATGAGTCCGTGATTGCAAAAAATGAAATACAAAAAATCATATACAATTAAATTTCTTAAGTTACGTCATATCATATGTCATGAGGATTGAACTCACATGATTTAGGGTCTTGTATTTGAGGTATTATTTTTTAATTGAAAAAAATGGATAGGAAAAAAGAAAAGAAGAAAACCCTAGCCAGTAATTTGAGTCCTAGGTATGGGCCCTCCACAACGTGCCACCAATAAAATTCAACTCTAATGTTCCACAGTTTAAATTCATCTGTATGAAACTAAAGTTTGTGAACCTCCGGATATCGTGTCAATACATGAACAACAAGGTCAAAAGATTAATTTTGATGACTATTAGTACTTAAGATTGGCCAATTGAAGGAGTGAGCTAATTAATTTGTTTACCAAGTTTGGAACTATTCATATTATCTAAAATATTTAGACAATTTAAATTCAAGCACCCTAATTTATATATATTTGAGTTGTGCTTATTTGTTGAATTAATTGTATTTTTATAACTCATATTTTATAGTTTTGTGAAACTTTTTAATTTGTACATTTTATCATATAATTTTTTAAAATTTTGTACAATTTTATTACTTTATTAGTTAATCTCTAACATAATTATTTGATCGCTAATATAATTGGATGTAACATATTAATTATTAATTAAACATAATGTGTCAATGTACTTAGGAATTATTGAGTTCAAATCAACTAGGACTAAAAGAAAAGTTATACATACAAATTTTTATTCTTTTTAGATAAAAAATATTTTATTTTATTAAATGTGATTTTAAATTGATATTCAAATATACATTATATAACAATAAAAAAAAGTGATTCTATGTAATTGGTTATAATTAAAATTGAGTTTAAAGTAATATGATTTATATTTGAAAAACAAATATTAAAAAAGTAATTTTTTTTGAAGAACTGTTTGGATACTCTTAATTAAAATTGATTTATTGAGTGGGTATTATTAAAATGAATTTTGATGTCAATTTATATTTCTTTTAAAAGGCAAGTGGGTGGGTAAATGAGAAAAAAAATACAACAATTAAAAATTTTAAATTAATTTTAGATGAATCACAGAAAACCCTTTATTACTTCAACTTTTCCCATCATGATATCTTATTTATTACCAAACATTATGATTATTTTTAGTGAAACCAATTTTTACTTAAACTTATATAATTCTCCATTGTTTCACTATCAAACAAAACACATACTGATGCCACCTTTTTGACTCTACGCTCGTTTCTTGTAGTAAGATGTTTTTGTTTCTTGAATTTTCTTTTTCTATGTTTTTTAATTTCTAGAATAAGAGACGAGTAGAAAGAAACAAACATATATAGTCATCCGGCAGGGCAGTATATATGATGAATCAACATCAAGATTGTAATTTTAAAATAAACATTATAAAAGCAAATAATTTTTAACTATATGATCATTAATAATTAGATGGAAAAATTATAAACAAATTGCAATTAAATTCTAGCATTGTCCATTACATGTGAATACTGTGACGATTTGATACTGTGAGGCTCGTGTGCACAACAAAGCATCTGCCACAAAAAGTTTCTCTATAAATAGAGCTTCAATTTCCCGCTCTATAAGCCACACAAAATCTCTTCTTCTTAACCTTCTTACTTTGCATCTCTTTTTGTCCTTAAAAATGAAGAATATGAATATGAATCTAAACACACTTGCTTTGATCATTGCCATTGCAATACTTTCTGTGTGCTCTTCAAGCTGCACTGCTGCACGAATCAACCACTTTAGAAAACTCAAAGCTGCCTCTAATACTTTCAATGTATTAGACTATGGTGCTAAAGGTGATGGACATGTTGATGACACAAAGGTAATTATGATTTCACATTAATTGATTCCTTATTTTGCCTCATTTGGAATGATTAGCATATTCAGATTTTGGTAGTTGGATGATGACAAAAGTCAATGGCTGCTTCCTCAGCCTTTTAACTGCAGAAATTTTTTTTAAAAGATAAAGACAAACCCACTAGAGTATTTGTTGCATTTAATTAAGGTAGCTTATAGTCAATTATTTTTATTTCTATAAAGTATTAACTTGGTGCCAAATTAAAAAAACAGGCCTTTGAAGAAGCATGGGCAGCAGCTTGTAAGGTGGAGGGATCAACAATGGTTGTTCCATCTGGTTCTGTGTTTTTGGTGAAACCAATCTCTTTCTCAGGTCCTAATTGTGAGCCAAACATTGTTTTTCAGGTGAAGGAATTAGTCTATCTTCTCATATTTCTCTATATGTCACCCTACAAGCACTAGAACATAGGCCAGGCCAATGACCCTTTTGGATTTTTTGAGAAAATATTTTGTTTTCGTTTCATGTTTTGACTAATAATCATAAAAAGACAAAATGGTAAAGACATTTTTACAATTACAAGTGACAACAAAATATTAAAAACAAAAAAAAAAAAAATGTATTTTCTCAAATTCTATGATATATAACTTGTATATTTGTATGACAACTTCACGTTAATTAGTTTTAAGATAGAATTTAACAGCAACATAATATATTCATTAAAAATACATGCAGTTGGATGGAAAAATCATTGCCCCTACAAGCTCTGCAGCTTGGGGATCAGGCACCTTGCAATGGCTTGAATTCTCAAAGCTTAATAAGATTACAATCAAAGGTAAAGGTGTCATTGATGGCCAAGGCTCTGTTTGGTGGAATGACTCACCCACTTCCAATCCCACACAAGTGATGGAGGAAAAAGTTGGAAAACTTCCAAGTACAAAACCAACAGTAAGAATACTCCAATTGCCTCATTGAACTTCTTTTTAAACCTTGGAACTAAAATTCTCATGCATGTGTTCTGTTGTTACTTGTTTATGATAACTAGGCACTCAGATTCTATGGAAGTAATGGTGTAACAGTCACAGGCATAACCATTCAGAACAGTCAACAGACCCATCTCAAGTTTGACTCTTGCACAAACGTTCAAGTTTTTGATATAAATGTTTCATCACCTGGTGATAGCCCCAACACTGATGGAATTCACTTACAGAACTCTCAAGAAGTGGTTATTTATAGCAGCACACTTGCTTGTGGTAAGCATAATTCTAAAGCAAATCAAAATCTTAAAAAGTATCATTACATTATCTTTAATAAGGTATCAAACACAAATAATATATCACTTAACACATAAATATATATTCCATCAGAGTTGTTCCGGTTTAACTAATATTCTCGAATTTAAGTCTTAAAAAATATATAATGACATTAAATACTTAGAGAAAAAACTCTATTATCAATAATGATCTTATTCGACTCCAACATAATTGTATATATATATTAACACATAAATTAAGTTTGCAAAATTTTAAAAATTATTTAATATTTTATTTCATTAATTCAAATTAATATATAAAATACTTTTATGATTATAAAGTATAAAATAAATTTCAAATTTTTTAAGATTTTGCAAATATAAGAAAATTTAATTTAACGGACATATTGTTAAAATTTGATATAGAATATAAGTTATTAAATGAAGTAAATATAAATAAAATTATTATAAGATTAAGTTAATTCCCTTATTTTTTTTGGTGCATAGTTAATTTCTTATATATATATATATATATATATATATATATTAACACAAACACTATTGACACAAACGCTATCTATTCTCGTGAATCAAAATATATTTCAAGCGATGAGTTTTATAATCCCTTGTATGGGTCCACAGTCTCAACTTGTATCAGTCACAATCCAATATAACTTCTAACTGCCATGCTATGTGACCAACAAAATAAAAAAAATAAAAAATACTAATACTGATAATACAAACACTATCTCATCTCGTGAATGACTAAATTTAGTGGCCAACTAATCCCTTGTATGGATCCACCTTCTCAATTTTTATACTATATAGTCACAATCCAATATAATTTCCAAATACCATGCTATGAGAGCAACAAAATTATATAAAGAGAGGAATGCCTATAATACAAACACTATCTCATCCATGTCATTTAATGGTGAATTCACTATGGTGTAAAATTGTAAAATTTGTTTTACTCCTTTGTGCAGGTGATGACTGCATCTCTATACAAACTGGTTGCTCAGACGTATATGTACACAACGTCAATTGTGGGCCTGGTCATGGAATCAGCATTGGAAGTCTTGGAAGGGAGAACACCAAAGCCTGTGTTAGAAATGTCACAGTCCGAGATGTTACTATCCAAAATACCCTTACTGGTGTCAGAATCAAAACATGGCAGGTATAGTCATGTGTTACCACTCTTTTCCTACCTTAGTGTGTATTTCGGGGAATGTTAGTAAAATCAATTTTAAATGAATTATTTTGGTTTAAATTGATTTTAAAGTAATGTGATGTGATTTATAATTAAATGATTTTGAGTTTGGAAAATTTTTAAGAGTTTATATATTGATTTTTTTTAAATTTTAATTGAAAATTATTAAAAAAAATTAAGTTTATATTCAAATAGACTTTTTTTTTTATGAAAGAAAGCTAATAGTAAAATTTAGTATAAAAGTTTTAATTTAAAGGAAAATCTAATTCAAATTGCTTCAATTTAAAATGAATTCATTCAAAATAGTAGTGGAGTAAAGTAATATATATGAAGTCCTAAGTTTGAATTTAAGTGTGATCATTATAAAAAAAACTTAAAATCAGTTTTAAATTCGAAATTAATTTCTCAACACAGAAATACACACTTAAGCATCTACTTAAAATCTAGTTAGTTACAATTTAAATATAATCATCTAGGATGTGAAAAATTGAACCCTTAAAAAATTGAAACGAACCACTTTGAAGAAATAATTTGATTAAGCAAACTGTTTTATTTTTTATTTTTTAAAATAGTTCAATTTGGTCCAGTTCATTTAAAAAAAAAAGAAGCAAATTGTATATGAATATAAGATGAATAATCTTACCAAACCATTTAAAAAAAATAAACCATTTTTAAAAAAGAACCAAATAAATTTACTTTATAAAAAATTTCAGTTAATCAAGCCATTTTGGTTCTGTTCAGTTAAAAAATCTATTCATGCATAACCCTAATATAATTTTGTACAATCCACGGTGAAGCCAAGCATGCACCAAGTTACATTATACATGTCAATTGAAAGTTATTGTATTTGTATTCCACAGGGTGGCTCTGGCTCAGTCCAAAACATCATGTTCTCAAACGTCCAAGTTTCTGGTGTTCAAACTCCAATCTCCATTGACCAATACTATTGTGACGGTAGCAAGTGCAGGAATGAGTCATCAGCTGTGGCAGTTTCAGGCATACATTATGTGAATGTAAAGGGAACATACACTAAGGACCCTATTTATTTTGCATGCAGTGATAGCTTACCTTGCACTGGCATAACCCTTGACACCATTCAGCTACAATCAGCACAAGAAACTCAAAACTCCAATGTTCCTTTCTGTTGGGAAGCATACGGGGAGTTGAAGACCAAAACAGTGCCTTCTGTTCAGTGTCTTCATACAGGCAACCCATCAAAAGCAGGAACTTCTAACATTGATTCTTGCTGAATTTATCCACACAATGTCAGGGATTAATTTATAATATATACATCATGGAAAGTTGTTACTTGCTAGTTGTGATGATATCTTGAAATTAGTTCACATTCATGTAATATAATGTTGAATGTCATAGAGAAGTGTGTGCCAGAAAGATGTAGGGGAGAAGATTTACTAGTCACCATATATATATTTAGATTGAAAATTTTAAGTGGAAAAAATGTGTTAGCCATATATGTATATCATTTTTTTTTCCCTTTCAATTATATATGTCCGTCACAGCCATATATATATTCATTTTACCTTCTAGTGACAGGAAGTTGCGGTAGTATATCGAGAGTGTTCGAACTTTATTGCCGTATGTAGTTCCTATTTATAAATATATATATATATATATATATATATATATATATATATATTATATTCCAACTTTTATAATCAATTTTGTTGTAGTAAAAATACATTCAAAACATATATACAACCAAATACATAATATAGTTTTCATCAAGACGTGAAAAATGGCATTGGTGATGGGCAACCAACCAAGAACCGAAAACCACAAAAAGTTTTATTATGGGGCGTCTCCTAAATCCAGTTGGTATTTTAAATTATTTATTTCTCTCTCTATATATATATATATATATATATCAATTTTACTTTTTGGTGTTTTAATATGGATCTAGATTGTGATGGGTTATATGAGAGATTTCATGGTATTAGTAGAAAATATTCACTACTGAAAATAATGTATTTTATAAGGAAAGTTAGAATTTAAATTTGAAGAACTTAATTAAAAAACATAAATTATTATCATTTGTGTTAACCAGTTATAACACTATAGATTTTAGGTGTTTTAATTAATTATATGATTAATTGTTGTTTTGTTATTATGACGACTGTTTTATAGTTTTGAGAGTCAAGAAATCTTTAAGAGTTAAGTTGATTCTGAGATAATTTTAGTTATAATTAAGTTGACATAAATTAAGAAAAGATATATAGGATTTTTCTTAAAACGTGAATCTCATAAGTTTTGTTTTAAGAAAAAAGTAGACAGAAACTAGAAAAAAGGTCTTTGGCACCAGAAGATTCCTTCTTCCTCCTTTTCTATTGAATTCCTTTGGCACCTTCCTTACAATTGATCCAATAGATTTGGAGATTGTAGCTCTAGAAGTAGGAATCTCAAGGTCAAAGTTGTGCAAAATTCTCCTTTTTCTCCTCTTATTGTTGATCGACTAGAGTAGAGCTGTCAAAACGGGTAACCCAGCCTGGCCCGGCCCGGCCCACCACGGGTTGAGCCTTTGGTGGGCCAACCCAACCCGACTCGTTTATTGGTGAGCTAGAAAAAATTGAGCCCGGCCCGGCCCACCACGGGTTGGTGGGCTAAACGGGTTGGCTCACCTAATTTGAAAAAATCACCTAATTTAAAAAAATGTAATCAAATTTAATGCCTAATCCTGCAAAAATAGTATGCACATAAGCTTTTCTAGAGAAAAGTAAATAAATTCCTACACTAATTACATAATTTGAAGAAAAAATACATAAAATTGAGAACCTATGATGGTCTATGAAATTTTGGCCCAACCCAATAGCAGAAGTTTTTTTTTTTTTTTTTTATGGGCTGGTGGGTCAGCCTGGCTCGGGTGAGCCGGGTTGTTAGTGGGCCGGGTTTAAAATTGGCCCACACTGAAATTTGCAAAATTTTTTTAGCCCAACCCGACTCGAACCCGTGGTGGGCCGGGTTGGCTCACCAGGCTGAGCCCATTTTAACAGCTCTAGACTAGAGGTAAGGGAAACTTGTACTAGTGAAAAATCAGTTTTTTACGTTAGCGTTTTCTCGTCGGTTATAAAAATGTCCAATATAAAAAATACGCGATGACATTTTTGAAATTAATCTAAACCTTTTTACGTCGGATCATAGGGGGTTTGATGTAAAAACTAAAATCTACGTCAGATATGAAGTACAGTCTGACGTAGATTTCAATTTTTAAGTCGGACCCCTTTTGGCCTGACGAAAAAAAGTTATTTTATTCCCTAGCACCTTCGTCTTTTTCGTGTGCGCAAGTGTTTTTTCATTGTTTTCCTCTAGGTTTTTCTTCTAGCGATTTCTAGCAACGGTGGTATGAGACCTTTGGGTGTTTTTCGGTCATGGTGAGCGGCGACGACAATGGTGGGTGGCGACGACAATGGCGAAACTCATTTTTGATTCTGAACCTATCTCTCCAATTGAGTTGAAGCATTTAGGCGTTTTCATGGATTGAGGTTAGTGCTTTCATGCGTGTATTGATATTTCTGTGTACAAATGTTGTTTTATTCCTACACGCGAGTGTTTTGACACTGTTTTTCTCTCCAACGATTTCTGGCGACAGCGATGTGAGACCTTTGGACGTTTTTCGTTCACGATGCACGACGACAAGACCCATTTTTTATTTTGGACCTATTTCTCCGATTAGATTGAAGCATTTGGGTATTTTTTGGACGTGTTCACGGATTGAGGTTATTTTTTTGTTTGTTTGTCAACCATTTTACGTTGACGTGGAGGATGTCCGACGTAATTTTACGTCGGTTAAAACACCCGACGTAAATTTACGTCTCCCGCATTGACATCAGACTTTTTTCCGACGTAAAAAGTCTAAAATAATAGATGTAAAATGTCTCTTTTGTACTAGTGTTGTTTGATTCTTTGAAGTTGTTACATATTGTAATTGTTGTTAATTTATCCATTGGTAGATTAATTTGTTGTTTTTGAGGTGGTTGTTGAAGATGTTGAAGTTGGGATTTGGGGTTGATGAAACAAAACCTAAAATTGATGATTTTTTGATGTAATTATGTTGCATGTTGAATCTAATGTTGGATTTGTGTTAATATTATATTTAAGATATGTGTAAATATCTATTTTTTAAATATTATATTTAAAAAAATTCAAATCATGTTAAATTTGATACATGTAATCTTAAATATAATATTATATAATTTAATGTTTAAACTTTTATTATAAATTATTATTAAAGATATAAAATTTGATATAAATTTTTAGTTTTACATTTAGTGTAAGGATATGACTCATTTTATTTTTATATATTTATGAGAAAACAAAATTTGATTTATATCAATCTATTAATTACTTAATATTTTAACATTGATGTAAATTATATTATATATATATATATATATATATATGTGTGTGTGTGAACAACGTTATAACAAAGAATGAAAAATTCTTAAATAAAGATCAAACTTTTTCATAATAATGTAACAAAATATATTTTTGAATAAATCAGTTTTTAATTATATAAAAAAATTGAAAATGGCTAAAATCTATCATAAAAAAATATAAAGTAAAAAAGAACTCAGAAAAAAATATAAAAAATATTGACTATGTATTTTTTTTTACTTAAATATGATTTAGTCTTTATAAAATAAGTAAATTTTCATATGATATTTTTATTCTAAAAAGTTTAAATTACTATGAATGAATTTTATAAAATGAGGAAATTTTAATTTTGATTCATAATATTTATTTATAATAAATTATTAACATTCATTTTAATGATTTAAAGAAAAATTTAGTAACATTATTACATACTAACAAAATACTAATGAATGTCATTTGATATGGATACTTAACTTTTTATTAAACATATAAATAATTAACAGTATCATATGACAATGACAACAGAAAAAAATAGTTTTAAAATTAAAATATAAAATCAAAATTTATTACACTTTTTTATATTTTATTTTTTTAACTTGTAGGAGAAGGATTGGTTATAGTAAATACTAATCTATAACATATATAAAAATAATTGTTTGATTTCGTATACATATTTTTTAAATAATTTCTTTTAAATTTGAATAATAATAAATAATATTAAAAATTAATTATTTTCAAATTTAAATCCGAACTCAAAATTTAAAAATCTGAAGATGAGATGTAATATCGGTTAAATAAATATTAATAATTTTTAAATATTTTGATCAAATAAAATATAGAAGTATGGAATTGAGTCGGATCAAAGAAACGACGACGTTTTCTGTGAAGACTCGGTGCGCCGTCGTGTGACTGACATTTGTCATTAAATAACGGTGTAAAGCGTATCTTCGATCTCTCTCTCTCTCTTTCTCTTTCTCCAAAAACAAAAATCGCGATTCGCTCTTCTCTTCGAAAATCTCGATATAGCACGAGAAGAAGAGGTAATCAAATCCATCTCTCTTCGATTTAGCTCCCTTCGATCTCTCTCGGTTCCAATTTTAGTTTCTATATTAATTAATTATCAATTTATTACAATTATTTTCGTATCTGATCGAATTTGTGGATTGGCGATCGATCTACGATCGCGTGATTTGGATCAGCGATTTGGAGTGAGAGAAGATGGGGTTGTCGTTCACGAAGCTGTTCAGCA